AATTAAAACAATAGTCTTCCAACAGCATAACAAAAAACTTCAACTCACTCCTGAGCGACAATTCTCATGAATGCTCATTACAGGAATTCATATTTTATATTTTATTCATATTTTATTAAATATAAAATTATACATAATGTGTTTGCACTGAATAGTTATAATATGCTGATGTTAAATATTTTTTTCACTATATCTGACTCAAGTTTTGCCAAAAAGGTTTTTTTTTGTCAAATACTAAAAACACTAAAATGACAAATATCAACTACAGAAAAGCTGTTCAATATCTAAACTGTGTACTTTGACTAAGAACATGGACACAGTGTATAGTGTTACGACTATACTATACTGTGTATTTGTGTATGGTGGGCGGATGGTAAGAGTTATTGTGCATTTATCGTTATCCAGGTGAACTGGTCAATATATCGCAATATTGATTTTAGGCCATATCGCCCAGCTCTACTTCACTGCACACTCATCTTATTGTCTCTTTAATCTCTTGAAACTTAGTGAGGTTTGCCTGTAATATTTTTAGTTTTGTTTTCTACTGTGCTCACTTCAAATTAAGGTCTCATCTAACTGTGAGAATGGTCCCTGGAACCCATTTTACATCACAACTATCAATAATGTATTGCTGTGTAAACCAGCACGGCAGATTGTAACTTACTGGATTTCCTCTAAAAGTATAAAATCAATATCCCAAAATATTTAAACAGTACACAGAGTACATAGACACTTCCAATAGAGTGTTTGTTTCATAAGTGATTAAAGGTTTTAGATGAGTGGGTTCCTGTTGTGAAAACGCTTCACGTTCTGCATTTGTGTAAATATTCTTTTCTCTCCATCTGTGCAGTCTTCAGGCCAGTAGCTGTGTGATGGAACTGGACCACGTGGATGGCAGTCTGAAGATCCAGTACTCAGACAGACTGGTCAGCCTGCTCCGGGAGGTCAGGCAGCTTTCAGCTCTGGGTTTTCCCATCTCAGCCAAGATACAGCAGGCAGCAAATACAGCAGATAAATTCTACAGGCAAGCTGTTGTCCTGAAACAGGTGAGAGGGGAGGAGACAACCCATGATATCTTCTGGTTTATGTTTGTGTGATTGTTCAGAGCTGTTACACAATGCTCCTGTAACAAAGCACCACTGTGCTGTAGGTGGCCCATTTTTACAACACCATTGACCAGCAGATGATTCCTTCTCAGAGACCCATGATGCTTAGTCTTGCTCTCGCTTTTGAACAAGTCATCAAGGTAATGTCTTCTTCTGGAAGGAATAGTTTTGTAAGGTTTGTTAATTAGCTGATGACTTACCACCTCTGAATACAGACTTTTAAGTTTATGTTCAGTATAAATTTAGAAATTATTGATGTTTTCTTCAACCTACCTTTACAGAAATGCAGCTAAATAATTTTTAAAGTCAATTTGATTCAAGATGTTTACATCACAAAGTGGCACGTTCCTGTTTCAGGATTCTTTCCAGTTGCTCATGATCCATTTCAAACACAACATATTCAGAAGAAGAAAATTGTTTGTTAGCTTAAAAAAATGCACACGAAGCTGGTTTTATTTTACAGACTATGAATTATCCTGCTGTTTCTGTTGTTTACCAGAACCCTCGTTCCCAGTCAAAAGAATCAGGAGGTAAACTGCAGATCACCTGGGATAATCCCAAAGAGTTGGAGGGTTACATCACCAAGCTGCAGTCTGCTGCCGAGAAGCTTTCCTCCGTGAACAGAAAGTTACGAAAATGGCACACTGACTTCATTGACAAGGTGGTAGCTGTTGTAGCCCAGAGGCAGTAATCTCGACAGTAATCTGAATGATCGCTATGAGCATATGCATTAGGAGACACATTATTTCCCCACTTAATCAGGCTGTAATAACTTGACTCCTTTGTGCATTTCTGTCCTAACCTCTGGGTACATTTCTCAGGTGGTGACACTTATGAATGTTGATCTACTGAAGCATCAGCAGCGATGGAAAGATGGACTTCAGGAGCTTCGTACTGGCTTTGCTACTCTAGAAGCTCAGGTATCCCTGACTTATATAAATCTTTGCTGCTTTAGGACTTACTACTTAATATGTCCTTCAGTTACTGCTTTCTATTCTTTCTTAAAGCAGTCTGAGTAAGACATTTGTATTGCTTTTATTTGGAGAGCTAATACGTGCACACGTGTGTGAACACAGGGCTTCAGGAGTGATGACATGCAAGCGTGGCGTCAGCACTGGAACCATCAGCTCTACAAGGCCCTCGAACACCAGTATCAGACTGGACTAGAGGCTCTAAACAGGAACTTGCCTGAAATTCACATCGACCTCATTTTCAAGTCAGTGCACACGTTCTCAGTTGTGTTGCTTTCGGTATAACTGTCTGTTCTGTACTGTAACTTTTCTGCGTGTTTTTTTTTAGCTATTTGTGTCCTTTCATGGCACTAACTTTTTACGTTAAACAAATGACAGCATCGCTTTGCTTTCCCCCCACCTCTTGGTTTTCTCGATTCTTCATTTCAGCATTCCCCTCTGCCTGTCTGTCATTTTCTCTTTTAATTCGTCTTAACTTATATCCTTTTTAAACTATTCTTTTCTTTTCAAAAGGCAGGGCCGTCTACAGTTCCGTCCGCCCTTTGAGGAGGTGCGAGCGCGATATTTCCGGGAGATGAAGCGTTTTATCTCGATCCCGAACCAGTTTAGAGGAGTCAGTATCCAGGGGGAGGAGCTTATCTTTAACATCATGATTGACAGAAACGCCTCTGGGTTCCTTACCATTTTCAGCAAGGCTGAAGACCTCTTCAATCGCCTGCAGGCTGTACAAGACATTTTTAAGGTGCTTCATCATTAGATAATTTCATAGCTGTAATAATCTTTCTAAGAATTTATCGTTAACTTTTCTGTCAGTCGAAGTGCTAAGGTGTCCATTTGTTTTAAATGAATCAAGAATAATGTTTACTACTGACATTTGTTTTGCTCAGTGAAGCATTGTTTTGTGCAATAGTTCATTTGTTTTCTTTGAAATAATGAAACTTTGATCAGTCATGCTTCTCTATTCAATGCACAGAAACTCATTGTATGTTTCAGCCCACATTTCCCCTTTTTTGTCCCTCTTAATGAACAGAGACACAAAGTTGGTAACCTTTTCGCTTTTGCCTGAAGTCTTGCATGCCTAAAGCACAGGGGGAAGCCCTCAGCTAAAATCATACTTCCCTTTCGTCCCCCTTTTTAGTTCAGTTTTATGTCGTCATTTTTGAGCAGTTTCTGTCACCTTTCATACGGTCACATTTAAAAACAGGAAATACGTATGTGTGCGTATGGGTGTATGTAGGAATGGGTTGTGCTTGGCCAGGTGGATTTGGAGAAGTTGGTGGAGAAGTATCTCAGTTCTGTTCAGGACTGGGAGAGAAATTTCAAGGCCCTGAAAGCTAGAGGGAAAGAGTCGGAACGCCTGCCCAGGTACTTTTCACAGTCAAGAAATTAGGAAACAAACACATTTTTAATAAAAGAGTAAACACAACAAAAATATGTGTTTGACACAGTTCTCAGCTGGTATTAAAGGAGACATGTCATGCTTTTAAATCTTTCTTTTTCACATTTAAAACAATCAGTTGGGGGTCTATAAGTGGAATTGCAATGCTTTGGTCTGAATTCCTCCTTATTGTAACTCCACAAGCCCCTCTTTCACCCCTTTTCTGAGGTGTGTCTCAGAGCAACTCGTTTTGATGCTGTCTCTTTAAATCCAAAAGAAGGCACTTCACAGCCAATTTAGTTTGATAGAGGGGCTTACAGCTATACTTTTTATTTGACAAATTAATTAAAAAGTAAACAAGGGAAGCCCATCCAGCCTTACATGTTGGAGCTAGTTAGAGAATGTCATAGAAAATTGAGCAAACTGAACAGATTGAAAAATATGACCCAAACAGAATATAACAATATCTATGCAGCACCGGGAGAGACTAAAGTCAAATTTTCTGCACTCCTAGAGACTCCAAGTACACAGCAAAATGCATTTTAACAACTAAAAAACTTGATTTTGCACAACGTGTCTCCTTTAAAGAACAAGAAACTTACACCTCTGTAAAAGAGTTTCATACATTTTGAGTTTCAATGATCCGTTCTGTTTTTGTCAGTCAGGAGAAGGTGGACTGTATTATAGTCAACTGTGAGCCAGTTAAAGCCACCATTGACGATCTGATCCAGAGGCTGTTTGACATGCTGCTCTCATCACTCAGAAAGTCTGTACAAGGTGGGCACAGACACATGATGCTTACTTCTTAGTCTCAAGTTATTGGAATGAGTTTCTTTTTTTTTTTTGTAACAATGAAAAGAGGGTTCTAAAACTTTCACTTTACAAGCCAAATGTATTTTCCCCAGTAATTTCTTCTGTTTGGTATTCTGCTTTTTTATTTTCCTTTTTGGTTTTGAGTTACTTCGCCTCCGATCTCATTTTCTTGTTCTGTTTTTATTTTCCCTTTCCTCTTCTGCATTATCATGCATACACTGGTTTCAGGCCACACACAGGCCATAAACAGTTTTGTGTCAGAATCAATGGAGGCCTTGTCCTCACGACCCGAGAGCATGGAGGAGATTGGGGCGGCTAATGGCAAATATAACCAGATACTCACCCGCAAGCCAGAAGTAAGATATGTTCACTCCCAAATCTAGAACTTCTTAAAAAAAAAACAGTATTGAAATGCTTGATTTAAGAAAAGACTGTTCTGTTATTCTGCTTCCAGTCAGAAAACAATTTAAAATACATACATAAGCAAATTTAAGACAAGTGTACTCTAATTCAGTGTAAGATGAGCCAGTTGTTTGGTATGTAACTGGAATAAAACCATTCTTGATATACTGTATGTGTATAGGTCTTGCCTCAGTTCCAGTTTGCTGAGGAGAAGAATCGCCTGCTGCGAGCTGTAGCCGGGGCAGGCCTGGACTCTCTGTCTTCGCTGAGAGCCAAGTGGGACAAACTGGAGCTGGTCATGGAGAGCCACCAGCTTATGATCAAAGACCAGGTGACATCATCTCAAACAGAGACTCACCGTTTTTCACTCGGCAGCCCCTGTCTTTTGCCGTGTTCAGTTATGTGTTCTCATGCTTGTTGCATGTTTTTTAGGTGGAGGTGATGCGAAATCATGTGGCAGGGCGCATTAACGCCTACAGGGCCGATCTGGAGCGGTTTAAGGCCCGCTGGGATCAACTAAAGCCTAAAGATGAGATTCTGGAGACCGGTGATCACGCTGCTCTGCTCGCATGTCTTCAGACCATTAGGGACAAACAGCAGGAGTTTCAGGAGCTTGAGCTTGTACACAATAAACTGCTGTAAGTTTATAAATCTGTATTTTTTTCCCCATACTGAGAGGTTCAAGACTGCCAAAATACCCCTCGCAATTTATGATGTGACAAAACGTGCCCTATTTGTGTGTTTTATTCTACTGAAATGATGACATTTAATTTATTATTGATGTCCTCTCTTCATTACATTACAGCCCAGGGCATTATGAACAGAGCAGCTGCTACATTGTATAATCAAATCATGTTCTGCTGTCCTGCATCTTGACAGTCAATAAAATAAAAAGTACAGCTTGTAACATCTTTACTGAGGCAAAAATAATAAAAGTCCTCTTCTTTCTGCAGGGAAGACTGTACCTATTTTGATCTGGAGCCTCCAGACTTCTCCCTGGCGGAAGAAACAAAACGAGACATGGCAGAGTACAGCCAGATGTGGGGTCTGTATGAGGAGTGGCAGCAAGGTTTCACTGAGAAGGCCCAGGAGGACTGGATCTCATTCAGGTGAGCGTTAACATAGGCCGGCAGGATTTCAGTATTATTCTGAAGTTGTATCATTGCTGTGTAAGTTGGTGTGAATCAATGTGTCCAATTTGTTTCTTACTTATAAACTGTAGGAGTAAGACGTACGTGTTTGAGGAGTTTTTGTTTATGTGGCAAGAACGGTTAAGTAAACTGGAGCAACCTACTGCCTTGTCTGTTAAACTACAAGCAGAAGTGGACAAATATAAGGTATTTAATTGTACTTTTACAGATGTCTTTTTCTCCTTGATACAGTGTATTTACACTTTAAGTCATGTAATCTCTAACTAGTGTTCAGAAATTTGAATACTTTTTACTTCAAAACACACATTTTTTAGTCACTTCAAATATTTCAGCTCCCAGCTGCAAGAAAATTTTATTGTAATTAAGAATGACTTTTATTCTTATGAAAGTGAGTCAGTTATTTAGCAGAAATAAAAGAATACAAGGTAGTGCTTCATTTCTTGACTTTACTTGCATGTGTAGAACATGGTGCCTGTGCTGAAGTACGTACGAGGGGAGCACCTTTCCCAGGATCACTGGTTGGACATGTTCCGTTTGTTGGGTCTTCCACGGGGGACAACACTGGAAAGACTAACCTTTAATGACCTCCTCGGTGTGGCAAATACCATCATAGAAAAGGCACTGGAGCTTAAGGTTCGTACAAACAGTGATCATTAAACGGATCAGAATAAATGTAAAAAAAAAGTTTTCTGCTTAGTCATTTAAATATTGTTTGAAATAAAGTTACTAACTGACTACTGCTTGATGTACATACATTTGTTATTGTTTGTAACAAAGTAAACTTTGTCTGCACTTAAATGTTTTGACTACTTTTTATGAATTGTGCTTTTATGTTTCAAAAGCATGTCTGTGTTTTGTTTCATCTTGCGTCCACAGAAGTCTACATTTGATTCCCACATACAGGGTGTATCAGAAAAAAGGATACTCTCAGAAAAAACGCCATAAAATTAACATAGATAATAATTTTGAAAATGTGGGCATAACCTTTGGTAGAGGGGATCATTCTGCTTCGAATGACACCAAAATCGCTTCACGCTCCAAAAAGCAGGGACAGTTGGAAATTTACAGAATTCATGTCCTTTGCACAAGGAAATGTGAGGGTTAAAATATGATCTGTCACATAAAATTAAAAGTTTAGATGGTGTTTTACACGCATGCCAAGGCGTTTTTAAAACAATTAACCCTTTCATGTCCTAACGTCGAAGCTAATGTATCTCATTTTTGAGTGGATCAAAACCAAGGGTTAACAAACACATGATGTGGCCGTACACAAGTCAATCCAGCCAACTAACATTACATGTAATGGACTGTACATGTACATTACATGTACATGTACATGTATTCAGTGGGTATAACATGTAATTATTCCATAACCTGGTACAAGATCATGTGATCGTGTGGTTATTGTTGGTTATGATCCACTCAAAAATGCAATATTTTTGTTTCGACGTTAGGACATGAAAGGGTTAATTATTTAAAAAACACCTTGGCATGCTTGTAAAAAACCATCTAAACTTTTAATTTTATGTGACAGATTGTATTTTAACCCTCACATTTCCTTGTGCAATGGACATGAATTTTGTGAATTTCCAACCTTCCCTGCTCACTGGAGCGTGAAGCCTTAACTAAGATTTTGGTGTCATTCGAAGCAGAATGATCCCCTCTACCAAAAGTTACGCCTACATTTTCAAAGTTATTATCTTTGCTAATTTTATGGCAATTTTTCTGAGAGTATACTTTTTTCTGATACACCCTGTATAGCAGGTGTGAATGATGTGTTTGATGAGAGCTAAGAGTTTGTGCTCTCTGTCTTAGAGAAGTGACGCAGGGGTGAGCATTTTGTGTCTTAATGCATGTTTCTTTTGTAGGATTTGAACAGTCGCGCTCAGGCAGAGGTGACGATCAGAGAAGCTCTCAGGGAGCTGGATTTGTGGGGTGCTGCAGCTACCTTCACCCTAACTGAGTACACAGACAACAGTGGGCGCACACTAACCCTCATCAAGGACTGGAAGGATATAGTCAACCAGGTAAAAATATATGGAACAAAAAATAACAACAAAAACAACCACATTGATTTATCTACTATGGTAGTCCCCAACCTGTTCTCCTAAGATGGGAACCACTGATGTAGTATGTGCAAGCACACAAACACATTTGCTGCATAACATGTCTGCATATTGTTTTATGTAAAGAGTACATAATATGAATTAAAGTAATATATTACTGGCACACATTATTGTCCAGGAGCTAATCTGCTGTAACTTTAAATCAGAGAGACATGAAAGGCACAAAAAATGTCTTCAAGAAGTTTTAGGGCACATCTGCCTACATTTAAAGTTTAAGGATTAGCAAACAAGCTTTTTTTATCCTTTTTACACCTACAGGTGGGAGATAACCGCTGTCTGCTGCAATCCCTGAAAGATTCACCCCACTATCGCAGCTTCCAGGACAAGGTCAGATCAAAGGATTCAAATTTACAACACAGATAGAATTCCCTTTTTACTAGTTGCATAGCTTTTCTTTTTAAGATTTTAAAGCAGCAAACACATGTTTTCCATAAATACTGTTGTGTTTTCAGGTTGGTCTGTGGGAGGTTCGTCTGTCAGACTTAGACGAGTACCTGCTCAGTCTGAACACCATTCAGAGGCGCTGGGTTTATCTGGAGCCTATTTTTGGGCGAGGAGCATTACCTCGAGAGGAGGCCCGCTTCAAGCGAGTAGATGAAGACTTCAGGTACTTTGTACTTTACTTTGAGAGCCACAGTTTTATACCAGATACAGTGTCAAATAAGATGCCAGTACTTTCAGCTCATGTCCCAGTTCTGTTGTTCAAACCACAAGGCATGATGAAAGTGCCATTAGATAAAATGTATTTTTTAGCATTGTTTTACCAAGCAAGTCCCAGTGAGATCACAGATCTCTTTTTCAAGCGAGGCCTGGGCCTGAAGGTACATACTTTTGTGCTGAGGGAAAAACCGGAGTACCCGGAAAAAGCCCACACAAGCACGAAGAGAACATTCAAACGGTGTTCAAAAAAACCCCAGGTCTGAACCAGGGATCAAACTCAGGACCATTTTGCTGTGAGGCGTTTGTGCTAACCACTGAGCCGTCGTGCTGCCAATAGAGTATATTTTAAGCATGATACAAATTTATTTATGTTGCCAGGTCTATAATGTCAGATATTCAGAGGGACAACAGAGTTGTTTCTCTGAGCTCACGAGCTGGCATCAGAAACTCCCTCGTCACCATTCTGGATCAGCTTCAGCGCTGCCAAAAGTCACTGAATGAGTTCTTGGAGGTACGCACACATATCCGTTTCTCCGTACAGATTTTACACCTTTATTCAAACATTAGGACATGCTGTCACTGGCTTTGTGTGTTTGTGTTTCTTGCAGGAAAAGCGCTCTGCCTTCCCACGTTTCTATTTTATAGGAGATGATGATCTTTTGGAGATTCTGGGACAAGCGACCAACCCAAGCGTCATCCAATCACACCTCAAAAAACTGTTTGCAGGTTTGGATTCCTTGTTTGTTAGTTTTTTCGTATTCTCTGTTTCATTCTTTTAAAGTTCAGTCCTGTTGTGTTGTTTTTCCTTCATTCTACTGTTTTATTTACTTCTTTGAAAAACAGAAAATTGTTTTAGACATTGAGCATTGTCTGCATGTGTGTTATGAATGCAGGCATCCACAGTGTTGTATTTGATGAGCAGTGCCAGAACATTGTTGCAATGTGTTCTTTGGAGGGAGAAGTAGTTCAACTCAGAAATTCTGTACACATCTCCAGTCTGGTTGAGGTAAAGTTTTTGGCATTCTATATTTTTTTGTGTTCTTGAGTGGGTGCCAAAGCTTGCGCTAAAAATCACCAGTCGTTTTCTGTTAAAAATGGTAATATTTTACCTTTATTTGTACACCTCAAGATGGCAGCTCATACATTGTTCACGTCTTTCCAGGTTTGGCTGAGTGAGCTGTCTGTGGAAATGAAGGAGACTCTTAAGCATCTGCTGCATGAATGTCTGACTGCAGGGAGGAAAGGGGAGGTGGACCCCTCACGCTATCCATCACAGGTGCCCACAAATATTTATTCCAAAAAAAAAAAAAAGGTTTTTTTTCTTTTCTTTGTAAATGTCCTCAAAAGCTTGCAAAGTTTTTGTTGACTTGTTTGTATCACTGTGCTACTTAGTTTTCTATAATGTAAACATTTTCACAAGTTATGCATTTTCTTAAATGTCAATCAAAAGTGTGTGTGTTTTTTTTTTTGTAGATTTTGTGTCTGGCTGAGCAAATCCAGTTTGCAGAAGATGTGGAAAGAGCAATGAAAGAGCAAAATTTACACCAACTGGAGGTTGAGCTCAATAGCAAACTGGAGCACTACACCACAGTGGAGACCAGCTCGGATGACCATTCTAACACAGGTGGGTTTTTGTATCATGTGCATGAACAAAATAAGTGTGCAGTTTCTCTTAGACCTGCACCAGATTCTTTCTGTCATTCTGAAGTTTGTTTCATCCATGTAGATTGAAAGTGATTCACACAAAATCAGGATAATAAACAAACAAACCTTTAAGATTGAATGTTTTCAATTAGCACAGCATGGAGAACACCAGTCAGATATTACACACTTTTGAGTTAACTTTTATCAGTTTATTGATTTTGTGGGAACACACAGTTACTGAACTTTTAAGTTATGTTGACATTAGGGCTGGGCAGTATGACCTCAAATTCATATTACGGTATAAATTGAATCCCTTCACGGTAACGGCATATATCGCGGTAGAAAATTTTCATAAAAAGCAAAGATAATGTAATTTTAGAGCAATTATTTTGAAGAAAACTGTAATCATAATCAAACTCAGCGTTTTTGCTGTAGTGTAAATGAACATAACAGAAGCGCTTTGTACTAGCATGTGTTTAGGCAGCTCTACATGTCTACCACATAAGATTCAAGGATTTCTCAAACTTGCATGAATGAGTCAAAGCAACGCTGTACGTTTTTGTCAGTCCGTCCGTGCATTTTCTGCCATTTATCTGGGGTCGGGTCGCAGGGGCAGCAGCCTAAGCAGAGAGACCCAGACTTTCCTCTCCCCAGCCACTTGGGCCAGCTCCTCCGGGGGAATCCCAAGGCGTTCCCAGTCCAGCCGAGAAACATAGTCCCTCCAACGTGTCCTGGGTCTCCCTCTGGGCCTCCTCTCAGTGGGACGTGCCCGGAACACCTCACCAGGGAGTTGTCCAGGAGGTTTCCTAACCAGATGCCCGARCCACCTCAACTGGCTCCTCTCGACGTGGAGGAGCAGCGGCTGTATGTTTTGATGAGGGAATATTAAAACATGATGTAAAGCTTAAGGAATCAATTTTGCATAATCCCCCTCCCCCTTTAAAAGTTTTACAGAATAACGTTTTTGTTTAAAAAACCCATTAAATCTTTAAAAAATATGAAATTTAAGACTCAGCTCTACTCATTGATATTAAAAATGAGCAAGGCTTGAATACTTGATTTGTGTTTTATGGAGCATTTTTACCACATTTTATTGTTTATTCTACTAACCATGACTAAAGTCACCCTTTGAGTATGAAGACTTACTTTTATTACTTTTTGTTTTGTAATTCATTTTTTGCTGCTCAGCACTGTGATGCAAATTTTGTTGTTTATAAAGTGCTACATAAATAAAACTGACTTTAACGTTCAACCTCTGTGAAGTACCTTTAGCTATAAATGAACTCAAATGGTCTGAAGTGTAAAATTTTCTTTGTTTAATTTTAGTTCATACTTTCTATCTTTACCTCATACCTAAATCCCAGATAGATACAACAAACGGACACAACAGAGACCTTTTTTATGAGGTTTAAAAATGTTTGCAGGTATTTGCTTCACATTGTTCCTCCCTCGGTCTCTCTTTTGGGCTGTTAGTGATTGCACTGTGATCAAAATGATGGGTTTTTACAGAGGACTTGGAAAATAATCCACTTCACTGATCTACTTTGTATTGTTTCAGAGGGGCAGTACCTTTTTAAAAGTGTGCACCGAGAGGTTGACACACGACTGAATACGCCTCCACATAAAATATGATGGCTTCACTTTTTGTAAAAAAAAAACAAAACTGAACCTTTCTATTTGTGCGTGACATAAAAAACATCTACATAAGGCTGATAATAATCATGTTTGCTGTAAATGCAAATCTCTGGTGACATAAAATGTATCCGTAAAATAAAATCTTGTTTATCTTCTGTAAAAGGAAACTGGAGACATTTTTTGGACTTCATGACAGTTGGACATCAGCCAAATGTGATTTTAGGTTTTTCAGCATGGTTGTAAAATACCACTATGTATTTCTGATTATTACTATTAAACATGGACAGAAAACTCGGTCCATTCTGGGAACATCTTGCATAGAAAAACTCTATTTATATCCTATAACAGAAATGCTTTCCCAGATACCATCTCATTACATTATTGGCTCTCCTAAATATAAAAAAAGGTATATGAAGAGACTGTAGAGTGTTCACACTAATTAAAGCCGCTAAAGTAATGCCACTAGGGGTAATCTAATTTCTTAATTTACATAAAAGAGCCATAAACCAAGAAGGAAGAGGGGGACTTTTCTCCTCCTTTGGCACAAAGGCGAGACAGTTTGGCATGCATTTGGAAAGATTTTTAAGTATGCTTCCAGGGCTGACTTCAGTAATTAATTACTTCCAACAAAATATTAAAGGCAACTGAAGAAAATATATTATCTGAAGTGTAATTTGAACTCTAGAAACAGATATTAAAAGGCAGGTTATAAAAAGTCCTTTTATTTTGTTTTCTGATTTTTAAAATAATCTTTGGCAGTTTACATGCTGATTGTAATAAAAAGGACAATTTGATTTTTCTTTTGTATGAAGGTGGGGCATTTTTAGGCAAAAAATAATCCAGAGTAATTAAATATTTGTGCATCTGTTAACTTCCTATTGTTCTGTTTTTAAGTCATTATTTTTCACAATTTCAAACAAATTCTATTATAACCAAGCTTAATTGTGTATTGTTTACACATCTGTACTTCTAAAGTATTCTTATTGTAATAAAATATATTCATGTTAGCCAGTCTTCTTGTCAGAACCAGTCAACTAAGTAACCTTGCTGAATACTGTTTAAATAAGGCCTAAAACGATAACAGTAATGATTACAATCATTTGGAAATAAAATATTATCAGAAGTGTTCACTGAAGGGTACCACAAGATTTGTATGCAAACAATACGATCCACAAGCATAAAGCAAGATTTGTATGTACAGCAAGATTCACAAATGCATAAACAGTTTTTTATGTGCACACCAAACTGCACAAGTAGAAATAAGCTATGCAAATCAAATGTCCATACACAAATTGTCTGCTGAATCAGACAATGCAGTGCGCTGTTCAGCTTGTCTGTGCATTTCTCTTTTGAGACATTTTACACTCAGCCTTCATAAATGCAATGCTGCATTCAAGGTTGGTGAAAAGCTGGGACATTCGAGCCACCATAACAGAGCTAAAGTGATGCAAAAACTTGTATCTTTTTATGTATAGTTACATAACTTATAAATGTTACAGAGCTGACCGTTTTTTTTTTAAATTTCTGTTTGTGTAACCGAACCTAAAATACTGAAATCTCTGATTGTCTCCCTGTTCAGAGTCCAGCATCCTGCAGCTGAAGCTGAAAGCTTTGATTCTGGACATTATTCATAACATCAGCATGGTGAAGCAGCTGAACCAGGCAGGCGTTATCGGTGCCGATCATTGGGCCTGGAAGAAACAGCTTCGCTTCTACATGGGAACAGACAAATGCTGCCACATACACATGGTGGATGCACAGTTTAGCTACACATATGAGTACCAGGTGTGTTGAATTCATATATTGTATAGAAGAAATTATTTTAAAAATATGTTTAACAGTCTCTCTTTCTCCAGATGAATTCCCTACAGTGGTCAATAATCCTGACAATGTTGCATTTATTGTTGTTGGATATTTTCCCCTGTCAAGTAAAATAAATTCAATCTGGATGCTCAGAAATCAATAACAGTTTAAATGAGAGACAAGATTATGCATTCTCTAGAATACCCTTCAGCCGCTTGTTTTTCTTACTACAGAATGACATACTGAGCACACACTTTATATTTTTCTATGGCAGATCACTATTAATGAACACCGGTCACCAGTGGGTTTTAGTAAATAAAATGCTTGTGCTGAGATGTGCCCTTTCAGCTCCATCCATCTTGGTAACAGACTTTAAATAGCACAGCTTCTTAAATGTTGTGTTGTTATTTATTAGGCTCTCATGTCAACATTTTTATACTTCTATGAATATGAAATGTATTTTTTTTACCTTTTGGGGGCACTGTTAATACAGAGATAAGGAGCTCAGAACTTACCTTGCCTCTGCACTTTTCTGCAAACACATTCTAGACTCTCACTCTTTATCCATTTCCTTCAGTTGTCCTTCCCTTTTTTGTTTGTTTTAATTCCTTCTTCAAGTTTCTGACTTCTTTTAATGTCTCCAATGCCCTTCCACTTATATCTTCCCTTCTGTCTAATCATCACTTTACCTTTCCGGTTTTTATCACTGACTTTTTCCTTTATCTTACCCCCACTGTCTCACAGGGCAATGCAGCTAAGCTGGTGCACACGCCGCTGACTGATAAGTGCTACCTGACTCTGACCCAGGCCATGAAGATGGGGCTTGGTGGAAACCCCTATGGGCCCGCTGGCACCGGCAAGACAGAGTCGGTCAAAGCCTTAGGGGGGCTCTTTGGTCGACAGGTTTTGGTGTTCAACTGTGATGAGGTAAAAATAAATTTCTTATGAGGGGATGGCAGGTTTAACATTTAACAAACATTAACACTTTATTCAAAATATAAAGTTATAAAAGTAAAACATATGTTTTACAAATAGTCTAATTACTAGTTTAAAGTATGTATTGAGGTCATTTCAGTGTTCCTAATAAAGATAAAAAACGCTCAACACGAGCAACAAATTAGTACATTTGCTTTTTGAATTATAAACAATAAAACTTAAAAAAAATTCAGGACATGGCAAGATCTTTTACAAGTTTTTCTCTTTGTTTTTTTTCTTTTGTGTGTTTCCAGGGTATCGATGTGAAGTCAATGGGACGAATATTTGTTGGTTTGGTAAAGTGTGGCGCATGGGGCTGCTTTGACGAGTTTAATCGTTTAGAGGAAGCAGTGCTATCAGCAGTTTCCATGCAGATTCAGGCCATTCAAGATTCCCTCAGACATCACAAAAACACTTGTGAACTGCTGGGGAAGGAGGTCAGAAAATAGAAGTAGTAAAATGCCAACAAAAACAAACAAACAAAAAATATTTTGTTTTCAAGTATGGAAACCGATAAAGCAGTACCCAGTTGTTTTGCTATTTTAGAATCATCTTTTTGGTATTCTGTTCAGTGTTTTGGCTGATTTGTCGTTACACTGCTTTTCCTTTACTATCAGTCTTCTGTCAAATTAAGCTGCTAATAATCTGTAATATATTCAAGAATTTTGTAGAAGTTTATAGAACCTCTTATTAACAAAAGTTGAAACTATATTTATACAAATATAGAAAACATTTTATCTCTCTTTTCTTCATCCTTTAGGTGCAATTGGACCCAAACTCTGGGGTGTTCATCACATTGAACCCAGCAGGAAAGGGCTATGGAGGCAGGCAGAAACTCCCAGACAACCTGAAGCAGCTATTCAGGCCTGTGGCCATGAGCCGGCCCGACAACGAGCTCATTGCCAAAGTCATCCTCGACTCAGAAGGCTTCAAAAATGGAGAGCTACTGGGAGGCAAATTGGTTGCAATCTTTAACCTAGCCAGGTAGGCATTGTGGGTATTGATATAAAGTATTTAAATGTACTGCCAGAATACTTGTTAGCTAATGTTTCATTTTCATGTAATCTGTCTGATATTTTTGTTTGTCTCATCTATAAAGTGTTATTGCTTTCCACTGAGGTTCATAAACCTTGTGAATATATTATCCTTTACTGCACAACCCTGGTACAGTCAGCTAAGACTGTGTGTTTTTGAAAAAAAAAAAGAAAAGAAAAGAAAAAAAAGAGGTCTTTATTTCTCTTTGCAGGGAGTTGTTGACACCTCAGCAGCACTATGACTGGGGTTTGCGTGCTCTGAAGACTGTGCTGAAGGCCTGTGGCAGTCTCCTGCAGCAACAAAGGAGAAGTCATGACAAGGAGAAGAGTAAGTCTTCTCCCTTTGGATTTTTTTTATTTTTTATTCCGGGGCGTATTACCTTCTTCAATACTGCAGTGTGTCAAGAAAATTATAAGGAAGCTGATGCTGCTCTGGCTGTTACCTTAACTAACTGTATTTGCTGCCCAACACATATTCAAACCTAAAACACGTTCACAATCTACATTTTCAATACACATAAACAGTGTCACAAATGCAGAGCATGAATATTTATGACAATACAGTGCTGTATTGTCATATAGTATTTACGGTTGAATGAAAGCGCTGTTTATTTTAAGTGGGCAAACCTATTTCATCAAGAGGCTGGGATTTATTAAAACCTATTAAAACAATCAGTTTGCTGATTTTACTGATTGTTTCTTTGGGGTTTGAATTGGCGACCCACCAGCTACAGGATGAACCCCTACCACCTGTCACCACTGTCACCCCCTAAACTAAATGAGCTTTAACATAATTTTGTTTGCAGGTCACATTGTGTGTGTTTGTGTGTAGTTGCACCATATTTTTATAACAAAATCGTAAAAATCCTTAATTTCTGTATCCAAAGCTGACTGCAGCTGAATGCAATATGAATTTCTAATTAATTGTGTATTTAGATTAACTATTTGAAACTAGTTTATTGTGGTCAGCTTGCTCAAGACGTCTTGAATAAATATTTCACCTACCTTTGCGTGTTTTATTATGCTGTAGACAGCCAGTAGTTGCTTAATCATCATTCAACTTCTAAATATTCCTTCTTTAATAACTTAAAATGGCAGGCCGATAATATTGCACATTTGCTTGTGTGGAAAGGCTTACAAAGTTTCGATGGGTCACAAACATTCTGACAAAACTTTATAAAATGTGCATTTTTCTGTGGGATTTTGTTGAATTCAATTTGCGTATGCATAAAACTACATTAACGTTTAAGCAAGTCAAAGTCCTACATTTTTTCTTTACATACTTACCTACAGTTCTTTCACTTCTAAATTTTTCCTGTAAAACATTTCCTTTTTTAACTCTAACCCTATATGTTATCCCAAAACGGTATGCTCTTCTACTGTATGTTTGTTCTCCTTTATTCTTTTGTCCTTCCTAGATTTTTGCTTCCCAAATACCTTGCCAGATCCCTACTGTTTTTCTCTGAAGTACCCATTTTTCACCTCCTTCCTCCTCCTCCTCCCTCTCAAATCTCTTGTTAGCTTTCTCCCTGATGCCTGTCTTTTTGTCCTAATCATTCTTGCACATTTCTTCTTTCCCGCCGTCTCCCCTTTTATGTGCTTTCATTTTAATTCTTTCTGCTCTGTCTCCTTATTTTCTCTATTGCTTTTTCTTAATTTCCTCCTTTTCACCCTTGTCAAGTCCTTCTGGTCCACTACTCCACTCTCTAGCAGTCCAACACGCAGACAGACACTTTGTGCACATCTCCTGTCTGCTGATGTGCTCAAGGTTGTCTAGTGTTTGTCTCCATGTAAAGCCTGGCCAAGTGTTGCTGTGATAGAAATATCACCTTTGTGCCTGCTGGGAAAGCCTGTGTTTTAATGTTGAGAACTAAAGTGTTGACAATCTCTGAGATCATGACAGCCTTTAGTAATTAGCACAGTTTTAGAAGGAAACATGTAAAAGTGAAGCAAAATTAGTTTCGTCGAGCCTATTGTTTTATACTGTATTTTCTGGCACCAGGTTTTGTTTTCACCAGTATATGGATTTGTTGTTGTTGTTCCTGTTGTATATAGAAAATAAATCTACACTAGCCTTGTTTCTCATCATACAGTCCAGGAGAGTAATCTTGTGGTGCAGGCGCTGAGACTGAACACCATGTCCAAGCTGACTTTTGCAGACAGCTCTCGTTTTGACGCTCTGGTCAGAGACGTCTTCTCTGGGGTTAATTTCACCGACATGGTGGACCAGATACTAATGGATACATTACAACAAGTCTACAAAGAGGCACAGCTCGAACTTATACCCAGCCAGGTGTGTTCATTATTTCATTCATAATTCATTGTCATGGCATGGGTTGTGACAATAGTAGTTGCATAGTTTGGTGGATGCTTCACTGCAACACATTATTTATAGTCAAACCTTTGAACGGCTTAAGTAAAGGTTGTCAAATAAAAGCAGCCAACATACTCGCTGTTCACTGTTTCAGCTGAAAAAGGCTTTGGAACTAAATGAGCAGCTCAGACAGCGCATGGGTGTAGTCATCGTGGGGCCAAGCGGGGCAGGAAAGTCCACACTCTGGAGGATGCTCAGGGCTGCTCTCAACAAGACCGGCAAAGTGGTAAGAGGAGAATTTCCACTTTGAGTTTTCATTGATTGAAAAGTTTAGAAAATAACAAACAACAACAACAACAACAACAAGATTTCCAGTTTTGTCATTGGAATTTTATTTTGTTGATTTTTATAGGTGAAGCAGTACACAATGAATCCTAAAGCCATGCCCAGACATCAGCTTTTGGGACATATAGACATGGACACCAGAGAATGGTCTGATGGTGTTCTCACACACAGTGCAAGAACTGTAGTCAGAGAACTGCAGGGTAAGATCATAAGAGCATTTTTTTACCAGTCTGTTTGACAACCATCATACATTTGAGTACTTCTTTTATCTAGAACATATCACAATCTCCTCTTTTTACACTACACTAGTGCTTGATAAAGTCATCTCAGAATTATTGTACATTTATTGTATTCTGTGTTTGGATTAATGTGAAATCCAGAGGTGAACTCCTGGATAGTGTGTGATGGAGACATCGACCCAGAGTGGGTAGAAAGCCTGAACTCTGTCCTCGATGACAATCGGTTGTTAACCATGCCCAGTGGAGAGCGCATCCAGTTTGGGCCCAATGTTAACTTCCTGTTTGAGACTCACGACCTCAGTTGTGCCTCACCTGCCACCATATCCCGTATGGGCATGATCTTTCTTAGGTCAGTTAGCCTTTTAAAAACAATTTGGTATTCCTCTGTCTCTTACTTTCTTACCATTCTTTTATTCTCCATTATTCTTCCTGCATTTGAAGTGATGAGGACATTGATGTGAGTGCTTTGGTGAAGTCGTGGTTAAGGCGACAGCCAGACGAGTGTCGTGATAACTTGGAAAACTGGCTGGGGGATTATTTCCAAAGAGCTCTGGACTGGGTTCTCAAACAGGTATTACTTTTATCATCCTACCATTGAACTCTGGCTCAAAAGCTATCAAAAATGTAACTGTGGTAAATTTAAAACTTAAGATGAGGTACTTTGATTGTTAAAACATAAAGCTGAATTAAGGCCCCCACATACTTGGGCGTACCGTGTACAGTCCGTGAGCCACACGGAGTACGCGCATAATGTCTGCTGACGTTTGAGACTTCATACTCGAGCGTACTGATCGCCTGACAAATTCCTCAAGTTAGCTTGCATTTTAGCTTTAAAACAACAAAATAAAATAATTTACCTTACCCAGGGTTTGAGCTATTTCCTCCCACAAATTTGTTGCTCTCTGAAAGTCCTTATATTCTTTCACTGATGTATCTTATAGTATAGTCTTCTTGATGTAGCTTAATGTTTTCTAATCAGCTCCATGAAATACTCTTCAAAATTATACTCCGTTTCATCCACAAATGACACAGATTCTGAACTTTATCTGCTTGTTGTCGCATCCAAAACAGTTTGACGTGAACTCGCTGGGCAGTTTATTGTGCGACACCACAGATGCAGACATAAAAAACTGATCTCTGTGCGGACCTATGTGGTGGATGTCCGCTGTGAGTCCGCACTGAGTCCATGTGGACCTCCGCAAAGCAATGTACGCTCGAGTATGTGGGGGCCTTTACTCCTGAATAATCACCAGTGTTTATTACGATCGTTGTAGCAGCTAATATTATACATAATTTTTGGCAAATCAGTAGACTCAACGAACAGGTCCTAATCATAATAATGGCTTTGTGTTGGTTCGTAATGGTTTAATCTGTGGTGCATCTTATGTTTTCCCTTTGGACACCAGAATGACTTTGTGGTTGAAACTAGCCTGGTGGGTACTGTAATGAATTCTCTATCCCACCTGAATGCTGTGAATGAGAGGGGACAGTTTATCATTGGTCTTCTGAGGGGCATGGGAGGAAACCTCAACATCAAAACACGACAGGAACTTGCAAAGCAGGTGAGGATCATTTTGTTCTTTCAGGAGAAAGATAAACAGCAGATCATCTTTAGGATCGTAATTGTTAATTTGTGCTCTTATTATTTATTTATTTATTTTTGCAGTTGCTGAGCTGGGCGAGGGAGAGTCCACCAGATCCAAAAAAACCACTTGATACCTATTATAATTCTGATAGCGGCCAACTAGCAGCTTATACGTTCCAGCATCCTGAGGATCTCACTTTGGATCAGTTCTTTCACACACACATGCTGCCTGTTATAAAGACTCCCGGCATGCAGAGGGGTTTGCATGGCTTCTCTCCATGGCTTACAGCTCAACACAGACAGCCCTTCATGGTGGTTGGGCCCGAGGGCTGTGGAAAGGGGTAATTATACATGGATTACAACAGTATGCAAACAAAACCAACAAGTAACGAAACATGATATGCAGCAGAGACTGGCTTGTACACACTTAGGTTTTTCTTTGCTGCATGTATTTGCTACATGTATTTACTCACACAATAGCAAAACAGCACGTAAAACTAAAACATCAAGTGATTGATTGGGGCATTTTAAGTAATTGAAATCTATTTTAGTAGTTTGGAATACCCTGCTGAAATGCCATGCTGATTTTCTGGTCAAAAAAAGTCTAAGAAGGTAACTTGTGGATGTTATACACAGATATTTAAGACAGGTATTCTTAACCGTGGACCCTTAAAATGACAAAAATCTCAGCAAAATCAAAGCAACTTTAATTTAAAACTTGACCTTTCTTGTGAAACAGTGACAGCTTAGAATAAGGATGGGATCTGCCCGACTTGTCCGTGTGTGCTTTGTGCGCTCAGGCTGGTGTGTGTGTGTGTGTGTGTGTGTGTGTGTGTGTGTGTGTGTGTGTGTGTG